GACAAGGAATTGAAAATACAGAAACATAAAATTGTTGAATTTAAGTTGCATCAAAATAAATTACCAAAGAAAATACAGAAAGCGGTAAATGTACTCAGTGAGCAAGGAAATCCAGATTGCCAGAAGCTTCATGGTGTTCGTCGTTTCTCCGGTAGACTTTTCACTACTGATCCTGTTCTCTGCCAATTTCTGCTCCCTTGTTCCTTCCTCCTTTGCTCTATTTATAGGGCATCCTTCAAGCCTTCCGAGAGCAGTTAACGCGACTGCTACCACGTTCTACGTGCGTATGACAGTTTATCTTCTATAGTTTCCCACGTTCTCACGATCTCTGACTTTTCCCATGATTTCAAAACTGCTCTTTATACGTGCATTCGACTTACTTCTTTTCACGATTTGGCCAAAGTCTCGATGTCCATATTGACTTTCTTTTCTCTCGATTCTGTATTTTTCGAGAACTTCGAATTGCTTACGATTCCTTTTTAACCCTGGTCTTATATGACTTAGTTTTTATTCGACAACAGTCATTTGATTATAATTCATTCGATTCTCGATTGTGCTTCTCGATGCTATGTGCTACGTATTTCTAATTAGACATCGAATGAATTTTTGTTTATCTTATCGAGTCACATTTCTTTCCTTCGATTTCGATCGCTTTTCTCGATTTGCCACTAACACCAAGACAACTCTTTGGTACAATACAACTTTCTTCACACTCAGTTTAACTAATGTGTTGCACGTATTTGAATTTAAGTCCATTTGATATTTGTTGCTGTTTTTGTTATTATAAAAAAAAAGTATACAAAGTTTAATTAAGTAGAGAGAGAGAGGGGGGAAAGCATGTAAGGACAAGAAAGTGCTTTTGGTCACATTGAATAATTTAAAATGACTATTGATTATTATTGATTATGCATTTGACTTGTCTCACATACTTCCATTAGCAACATGTCAGCCTTTAATCACAATATTCTTTAATTTGAAAACCTGCCATAAACAAATAAACAAATTTTGAATTTTGTTGGAAATTCAAGTTTTATAAACCATTTTCTCATCTTACCACTTGCTCCTGCCATAAAGACAAAAGTTTGCCACTACAATTTGTAACGGTAAAATCATCAAAATCTTCCACACCAATTAATTAATAATTGTACAAAACGTAGACTGTGCTTTTTCTTCCGCTTCACTTTATGCTTTCATATTTTTCCACCACAAAATTAAAAAATAAAAATGAAAAACGCACTATCAAATAAATAAACTTGGCTTCAACGCATTATCGATTTCAATTGCTGATATTTCAAATTCCAATGCTCCACTCTATGCTTAAAAACAAATGTTTTGGAAGAAATTAACCACTTGCTTATAATTGATAAATAAAACATGAAGAATAAAATAAAAAATTAGAAGATATGTACGAAATTAAATTAATACAAGCCACACTTATACTATAACTCTTTAAAGATGCACTATATATCATATAATGAATAAAGGTGTTTTCAAATAAATACATAACTGATGTTTAATATCTATTAAATGTTATGAGTGTTAATTTAGTTTATACTAAACAAATCATCCTATATATATAAATTAAATTGCTTTAATCATTTATATTTTTTTCCTTATTTGTTAACAATAATCTTTCCTTTTTATTAAGTGTTGGACGGTGAAGAAATAAAAAAATGAAATTTGTCTAATATAGTTTAGTAAGATAGTAAAAATCCTCAATTTATCTAATTTTATTTTAACTAATCTTATTTAATAATATCCACGGTTTGAAATTTGGATTAGACCACGGTCTAATCGATCTAATTCAATATCAGTCTAAATATAATTTGTTACTTTTAAATAATCATATTTTAATTAAAAAATTAGTACAAAATCGATATAGTTGGAAAACTAACCTGTGTTTTTGGTGAAACTGATTTTAGTAAAAAAAAATATCAATTTTTTTAATATAATTTTTTTTTATAAAAAATATAATATTTTAGTTTTTTTATTTCATATTAATTAAGTTAACTTTAAATAATAATTATTTTATTATATTTTGATTTTATTTTAAATATTATTTACATTTTTTAATTTATTTTATATTTATAAATTTTATTTTAACGATTATGATATATCATCTTCATTATTTTTTTAAATATTAATTTATTAAATTTGGTTGGACTCAAAATTTTTTAACCTTAAACTAATTCGTTCAATTTTAAAAATAGTGTAATATTACCTACAAATTGCTTTTTTTTTTTATTCTCCTTTCTCTTATTCAAATAATTTCACATTTCATTTTATTTACATATATATTTTTTTAATGTTTTATTTCTAATCCAAACAACAACAAAATGTTAATGTGTGACTTATATGATAAGAGTGGAGTTAAAATAGGGATAAGATTTTATTGTAATGTCCCTAAATTCAAGGCATGCTCTGAAATTGAGAAAGTGGAAGTAAAATAGGTGAGAAAGACAGTGGTGAAGACAAAAAGAGAACAAAAAATGAGGTAATAAAACTGTGTGATTTCAAACTTATTGGTCCATTTCTCACTAACTCCACCTCTTTATCTACACTACTTGCAGTATATAATCAAATTTCACCACCAAACCTTTTCTGAGTTTTGGTTTCTTTGGATCTCAAAACCAATCAATCTTAACCAGAAACCCTAGAGAATCTGAGTAACTATTCTGCATGAGACAGACACACAAACAAGACACCTCACAAAGGATAACCTTATTCAATTTTCTATATATGCTTCCTTGTAATTTTTTCAAATGCCAACACATAACTTCATACCCATTGTACTTTTAAACCTATTCTATTAGGGTCTTTAATTTTAAGCTACATGCTCAAATTTCACGATGCATGAAGTTAAGTTTAAAGTGAAGTAGGAAATTTTAAAGTAAGGTAATTCGAAATAAGGTATAGTCCAACCTAAAACTTGGCTTTTTTCTTACAAGTTTTGGGAATCAATACTCTTACCCACAAGATTTTTTAGTACTACACTATAAGAAAAAAGACAAAATAGAATAGTGAAATTATTATTATTAGTTCTTTATTTTGTACCACGGATTTAGAAAGAAAAAAGAAGAAGTGAAAGCTCATTTATTGTTTTTCTTTCGAGATATTATTTGCTTAAATACTTTTTTATTCACAAACGTATTAGGAATAATATGCCTAATTAAAGAATTTTTAATCAAAATTAAAAAAAAAGTTCATTTTCATTCTAATATAATACGTTCTCATTAAAGAAAACACTTGTAATTTGACATTTCAAAATCATGAAAAAAAAAAAACGAAACGAAAAAAAACAAAAAAGAGAAGGAGCCAATTAAATATGTCCAAACGAATAAGATAGAAAGCTGCGGTGACAACGTGATGCCATTAATGGCAAGTACTTACTCGCTCTCTTCTCAACCAATGTTTTCAAAATATTAAAAAAAAAAATATTTTTAGTAAATTATTGAAAAAATATAATTTTATTTTCATATATTTTGATAAAACAACTATGAAAGCTTCGAATTAAGCATTTGGGTTAGTTTATGAATGAGAATTGATGGATGGTAACGGCTAGTGTGAAATTGTGTGCATGGCGGAAAAAGTAAGAGAAGCAAAGAATAAAAATGGTGGTTCAGTTCAGCTTGGACGGCACGGAGAGAGAGATTAATGAGAGAGAGAAGAAAACATGCCTTGTTTTGTGTGACTTCCTTCAAAACATGCGCTGACAAACTCTTTCTCTTTCTATTTCAAAATTACTAATTTCAAATATTAAAATATTTTCAAAACATAATTTCTCACTTTACGTTTATACCATATTTTTTATAATCAGAGTTTAATTATTTACATGCTGTAATCAGAGTTTATATAATAAATATTTTTATTATATAATAAATTTATTAGAAATAATTTTTTAAAAGAAAAAATAATAAAAACTGCTTTAATGATAAGATAAATTATAATAAAGATTATAAATATGAAATATATTAACGAGTATAAAATGAATAATTATTAAAATAAGATAAAAATATAATAAAATAATTATTATTTAAAATTAACTTATTTTAGATAAAAAATTTAAAATATATCACATATTTTATATAAATCATATTAACAAATTTAATTTTAATTTGTTTTTTTTATTAAAATTGGTTTAATCTATAAATTTAGGGGATTTTTTTAATTTTTTAATTTTATCCCACTTTAATTAAAATTCAAAGCAAACCGATTTTTAAGATGGATTTTTGATTAAATCAATTGAAATGACAAATATTTTATATAATAAATAAAAAATATATTAAATATGAGGAAAAAAATTGGAATAATTAAACTTAATAATTTTTTAAAAAATAACACGAGCATAATTTATCAAATGTGATGAGTGATTTTGGAGAGAATATATGTACATTTGCATCAAATTTAATAAAAACGTAAAAATGTGTTTTTTAGTTGTATGTGGAATTAACAATAACTTTTGATATTTGGATTACATGTGGGATAAAACATATCCTGTAAATGAGAATGAAGATTGTAGATGTAATATGTGTATCACCATTAAACTCAAACATACAACATTAAATCTGTATTTAAGTGAGGAGGTTAAATGGGTTAATCCATGGCCAGATTTTTAACGTATTGTGTTGTGTTGGTGCAAGGAAAGTGATGATAGTGCATGTTGTGTTTGTAATTTGAAAGTGACCTTTTTCAAATTCCCATGAACATGTAAGCAGTGTCCAACGTTGGAAATAAATAGAAGAGAGAAACCCCAAGCACAAACCACCCAAACAAAAAACACAAACCTTGTCATTTACAACACATACACACCTTTTTCCATTTCAAATCTCTGTTCTTCCACTTCACGAGGTTGCACGCCAACCACTTACACCTCCTCCACAAACGCTCTTTCTCTCTCTCTCTCTCTCTCTGTGTCTATTACTACCACTTCATAGGAGTGTCTCACATTAGATATTCGTGTTACTTTCAACTTGTTCTTTCCGTTGCATGAAATTGAAAACATGGCTACTGCGGCATCGAGAAGACCCACGTGGCGTCACCACCCTCCTCCTCCTCCTACCCCCAGGATCCTGCACTTCCCTCGCCGGAGACCCTCTTTCCGGAGGGACGTTAAGGGCAACACCAGCAACAGGCTGGGGACTCTGATTGATCGCGAAAGACGTGCACGTCCGCCCATAGTGCTGTTAGACAACAGCGTTGGTAGTGAGGGTGAGAGGAGAAGGGAGAGAGTTGGGAGTCCTAAAGGTTGGGCCTTGGAGGAAGAGAAGTGGAAGTTTCAAGCGGAAATGTTAAGGGCCGAATGTAACTTGTTGAGGATGGAGAAGGAGATTGCGGTTAAGAAGTTGCAGAGGACTCGTGTTAAAATGGAGACAACTCTAAGATCTGCTCTTCACACACTTGTTTCTGTTAGTTTCTCTTCTCTCTTTCTCACTTTCTTCATTTCAGTGTTCTCCACTTGTTCAAATAAAAATATATACTGCATGATCATGGCAATTTCAGAGGTGTTTGTAAATTTTACTCTTGAGGAATGCCTTTTTTCGAGTCTGTCATGTTCAATTTTTAAGGTTTATTGTCCAAACTTTTGAAAGTGGGATGGATATTTGCTTTGTAGGAACATATTCGTTGTTTTCTGAATAGTTTTTTGTCATATTTGATGCAATACGAACCGGTGGTGGGTTAATTGTACAGATAGATTTCATTGATTTCACTTCACATGTATTTTCTTATTTTTAACTTGCAAAGTGGGATGCAGGGAAGAATCAAGATTTGTGAAGGAAAGAACGTTGATATGGTTTTGGATGAGGAGATTCATGAGTTGACAGAGAAACTTCAGAGATTGCAAAAGAGGTCGAAAGTGAAGGATTTAGGAGCTAGGAAGAACAAAAATTTTGACAAGCAAGTTTCTGTTCTGCAGACTAGACTGGAGAAGATTGGAGGATCGTCAGAAGAGATTTATTTGAGGGAGTTTCAAGAGATGGAAAACATAAGCTTGTCAATTAAAAGGTGTAGCAGAATTGATGAGAGCATTGTTGCTAGTGGAAAACTAAATGTAAGTATGAAAGTAGCCTTGATGTTTTGAATTTTGGCTACTCCCTTCTTCTGAACTTCATATGCTCCAGTTATACAGATTTCATTAAAATTAACTTTGAAGGAGTTGATGTTAAGAGAATTAGGTTGTGTTTGAGTTGAGAAAGCATCATGTTTTAAAAGATGTTTTCTTCTCACGGATTTTATTAAACTTTATAGGTGGAGATTCTGAGGAGAAAAATGGAGGGATTGTCAAAGGGAATATTACTGCAGAGGATGGAGGAAGAGTATAACTCATTGCTGTCCACTGCTAGTAGTTCTCTTGCTAGCTCTGCTTCAACTTCCAAGAGAGTTGAATTTCAAGATTCATCTTCAACAAGAGTACCTCATCAGGTATATTCATGATTTCTTTGCTCATCACCAGTTGATGATGGGCTATTGTTAACAATTAGTGTACACTATTCACGTACACAATGTTGGCTGAAGTGAACTACACTTGATCCTGTTTAATCCAAGTGAAAAGTTCCACCATCAGTAGGAAAATCTGAACCTAAATTGATTTGGCTCATATTAGTATACTAATTCTCTTAAAACACAATTTTCTTGACTAACTGAATTATGAAAATGGATTCTTACCAAACTTTGATTTGACAAACATGCAGGAAAAATTGTCTTGTGAAGGGAATCCATGCTCGGGACATTGCAAAACTGTTGTACGGAGAATTGTAGAGCAAGTTAGAGCAGAGACTGAGCAATGGTCACAAATGCAGGAGATGCTGGGTCAGGTGAGGGAAGAGATGGAGGAATTGCAGGCTTCTCGAGATTTTTGGGAAGATCGAGCCCGGCATTCTGATTCTGATATTCAATCCCTTCACAATGCTGTAAGATATACAGTTCACTCTTTTCAGCTGTTCTAAACTTTCCCATCTCTCAGTTTTCCTACAAATTCTTTTTGTCTCTTGTGCAATGCTTGCAAGCTTCATAACTTCTCTAAAACAACTTGCTTTCTATGCCGAACATTGTTCAGTTACATCACCAAGCAAGCATCGATTCTTTTCCTGCATTTGGTCTTTTAATCTTGGCACTAAACTTGTGTTATCTCTCACAGGTGCAAGAATGGAAAGAAAAAGCTCTTTCATCTGAAAGTGAAAGAAAGGAACTTGAAGCAGAACTCTCCATGGTCCGTGGTGATCTTGAAAGGTTGAGGAAGGAACAGAATGCAGTTAAGGGGACGAAATGTTTGTCCATTCCCGTGGACACACAGAATGAGTTGGAGAAGCGAATAGTGATTTGTTGCTCAAAGAAAAATAACAACTTTAAAGAAAATAGCAAGCATAATGATGATGTTCTTAGGAGTGGGGAAAGAAAAGCTCAAGGTGCTAGTAGTGGTGGATTCTTAGCCCCAAAAAGATCTCCACTCAGAGACATTGGGAACTCGCCATTGTTGATGAGACAGAATGGCAAAGCAGTTTTCCCTTTGCGTTGCCATCTTTCTTCTGATGCTGAGAAAATTCACCAGTGACTCACTAACATAACAGGGACAAGGTGCAGAATGAATCAATCAGGGTTTTCATGTTTTAAGATTTGTAGTTGAAGATCTTTCATGTAATATGTACTATATATATATATGCCATGATAAATAAGGTCCCAGATTGGTGGAGTAAAACTGGAGATTTTGTTCATCTAAACAACAAAATATAATGTGAAGAGAAAGTAAATCCATGTTCTACTAAATGAACCTGATCTTAGTCTTAATAATACTCTCTTAAGTGTTTGTTAGAAGCATTTTTCATTTGAATTAAAAGATAAATACAAATATATTCAACAAATAAAACTTAATACAAATATGTACTATATAATATATAAATGATTTATTATAATATTTTTTATAACTTTAAATCATAAAATTTAAAATAAAATATAATAATAATTTTTCTCAATGAAAAAATTTAATTGTTATAAACTTTAATTAAATATCTTATTTTCTTTTTTTATTAGATGAATTTATTCTTTAATTTCATAATGTTTTTACTTATTTTTTTATATTTATTTTAAATAATCAAAAGATTCACTTGGTAATCTAAAACAAAATTAATAAATAACAGTTTTAGACGAGATATATGAGAATTTATAAATAATTTATTAATAAATATGTAAAAGCCCATCTACATGCAATTTAACCCGCGTGGACTACGATTTATATGAATTATTAACTAAATTAATAATGGATAATTTAACATCTATAATATTATGAACTTTTGTATTATTATAATAATAAATAATTTTAAAATAATATTAAAAAACAAATAAAATAATAGCTTTTAACTTTTTGTTTTTCAACTAATTCATCTCTCTTTTTTCTTTTCTTACCAAACGGATAATAAATGTAGGAAAAAACAAATTTTCTACACATAGGAGAGAAAACAAAGGCACGTTTGATTTGAAGATGTTAATGTTAATAAATTAGCTTAACCTAACATAGAAAACTACCCACCCCAGCCCTAATGCTCCCTTTTCACCCTCTCAACTGAACACAAAGACCATTTGCTTCTTCTTCTTCTTCTTCTTCTTCTTCTTCTTCTTCTTCTTCCAATTTCCCTATGCTTCTTCAACTCTGTTCGTTCTGATGGTTTCAATCTACATTTCTCACAGTTGTGGTATTTTCTATTTTTCTTTTTCTTTCTTTTCATTTCTTTGGAATAACCATTCTGAATTAGAGGATCTTAACTGAACCAATCCTCCTTGTTTCTCAGCGTGTGTTGTTGTTGTTGTTGTTGTTGTTACTTTTGGTTCTGGTTTTTCTTTGCTGTTCGTGTGTTAAATTGGGATTTAGATCTACAAATATGTGATAATTTGTTTTTCTGTTATACGAATTTTGTTGATTTATTAATGACATTGTCTTCTTCTTATCGGGACTGAGCATTAAGTAAAACTAGGAAGTATTGCACTTCATATTAAGTAAAACTAGAAAGTAACGGGAGACTGGTTTATTCTGCTTCCAGGGTGCTTGGGTCATCGTTAAATTAGAAGTAACATACTTTTTTTTAATCCATCACACTTGTTGCTTTTCCGGGTGTTTTTGAAAGCATAAACTTTGGGTTAAAGCCCAAGTGAATCCAGACACACTCAGTTTCTTACACCATTCGTTCGTATTGTTTCTTACATAATCTAAGCACTTCAGTTCAAATCACTAAGCTGCCATCCCAGTTCATTACAATTCAGTTTGGGTTTCAAAACCCAATAATTCACAATCCTTATTCATTATTAGGTTTGTATGCAGAACAAGATATGCCTAATTAGGTTCCATTAATATGAAAACCATTTACAATCTATACTGCTTTAGGTTTCCTTACCTACTAAACTGAACATTCTTGGTTTGTGGAATTTCGTCTAGCTCAATGATTTGGTTGGTAATATCTTTATTGGTGACTATCTTTAACTGTTACTGAATAACATAATGTATATGTGCATCTCATAACTATTTTCTTTGAATCTCTTAGTTTGGACTCGTGATTATAACATTAATTTAATTCATCTTGGCTATGTAGTCTATGATGAGGAGTTACCTTTTTTCCCCCTCATTTATATTTAACGTCATCTTCTATTATTCAGAATATTTAGATGACTTTCACATGTCTGTGTGAGTTAACTATTTTTCTCCTTTGTATGTAATTTCGTCATCTTTTTATTCTTCAGAATATTGGCATAACTTTGAAAGACAAGAGAGTGGAACTGAAACATGACATGCCCTATCGTCTGATTGCATAAGACAAAGATGGCACACGTATGCAGAGCAAGATTTATTTAGTAAAGGACAATTAGGTCTTGCCATGTAATAGTTTTGACACCACTGGCCCATCTGAAATTAAAGAACTTGTTGCAATGGATCCTAGATTGGCTAATAATTATTCGTCGCCTCGTCCCAGATGGAGAAAAGTAGCATATGGTGGTATGCAACCTGGTTATGATGACAATCATACAGATGAATCTTTCCTTGAAGGAATGGTCATGAATGCCAGTGTTGTAAAAAGGGACATGCTAAAGGTAATGCTGGACTCGGTATCCATTTCTGAATATTTATGCATTGTTGCCCTTGTTGTCTTGGTCTGGACTTGTACACTTACATCAACTATTGATGAAAATTCTCTCCTATTGATTGATGTAAGTCTTCTTGTTTCTGGCTTTTTAATTCTCCTTTTTACTCAAGAAATGCTTTCCCTTAGTCTTCTCCTCCATTATGTCCTTAATATCTCCTTTTTCATAACTGTGTTATATGTTTTGGCTCCCATATATCAAACTCTTACAAGGTCCATTAGTTCGGATTCCATTTGGGCAGTAGCTGCCTCACTTCTAGTACTTCACCTTTTTCTACATGACTACTCAGAATCCACCGTTAAAGCCCCGGGGGTTCTGAAGAATCCTGCATTGACCAGTTGTATCTCTGTAAATGCTTCAGTAGTCGCCTCAGTTTTTATTGCTTCTCGCCTTCCATCAAGACTACATGTGTTCGGTATCATGTTATTCTCATTGCAGGTTTTCCTTTTTGCTCCACTTGTTACTTACTGTATTAAAAAATATTCCTTCCGCGTGCACCTATGCTTTTCTATCAGCTTGATGGTCATGACCTTAAGTTTTGTGTATATGCTGCATCGCCTACTTTTTGTGGTGCTGCTTAGTCTGCTGGTTTTTGTCAACGTGGTCTGCCCTTATTGGCTTATAAGGATCCAGGAGTACAAGTTTGAGATCAATGGACCTTGGGATGAGGCTAAACTTTGTTTTGATATTACAGACTGAAACCTGGATAATGTTACATTGTAGTATCTTGTATGTTGTCTAGGTTGGAGTATACTTCACTGACCCCTTGGACTAGTTTCAGTTCATGGAGTTCATCTCCGGGAAATGATGATTGTATTCATACTTTAGAGAATGATACTAATGATGGTTTAAAAATTCTTGGGTACATTCACAATTTAGATTCATTTCTGAGACATTCAAACCAACTAGTTTATATCTTTTCTCACTACATTCTTTCAAAGAAATATAAGATCTTTAGCTCTTGACATGTAAGGCGTATTGTCTAAATACCTGATCATTGTAAAAAACGTTGGTTAAAGAATATGATGGGTCGAGAGGTTAAAGCAACTAATGACTCTTGACTCTTGAATTTGATGTCATTTACCAATGTTTTTAAAACTGGACTGGTTATTGAACCAGTAAAATCAGGAGTTTAGATTTTAATGGTTCAATATGGGTTTAATTAAATTTAATAAAATAATATTTTTATAATATAATAAATTTATTAGTACTAATATTTTTTATAAAGAGAAATAAAAATAATAAAGATTATTGTCATGTTATAATAAAAAGTATAAATATAATATATTAAAAAGTTTAAGGTGAATAATTATTAAAATAGGTTAAAAATATAATAAATTAATTATTATTCAAAGTTGATATAATTGATTTAGTTTAAAAAAATAAAATATATTATATCTTTTATAAAAAAAATTAAATTAAAAAAATTTGATTATAATTTTTTTTATCAAAATTGGTTCAATAAAAAAATTTATCGATTTTGTCTCCATTTTATTTTGATTTAATTAATGTTAAATTAAAGTAACATATTGATTTTTAGTCTAATTTTCTATCTACCATGATGAATTTACTAATTAGTATGGTTTTCAAACGAGTGAATTTACTAACCTCTAGGTGAAAAATGTTTACACTATCCATCTCTTTATTCTTTTTTAAAAACAAAAAATATGCAAAAACCACACTTTATAACATACAATCCCAACTTAGTTAACGTTATAAGCTATACCAATCATTTCCATCATATCATATAACATAAAAATAACAGAAAAAAAAAATACAAACATAATCCATCTCCGTTTCATTTAAATTTCTTTTTTTCTACACTAATATGTAAAAAGAATTCTTTGCTTAATACATGTTATTAGGTAATCTAACAACTTTTGAGCTTTGGTTCTCAATTTTGATACCAGAATTATAATCGGAGCGATGTTTTTTTTGGCAATTGGTTATTCTTTAATGAATAAATCAAAGGAGATCTACATTATAAATGAAGAGAAGTTTGTTTTAGTACTCGTTATACAGTTGAAAATCATAAATCATAAATCATAATTCGACCCAATTTCAGGAGTAATGTGTATGCAATTTATCCTTTTATATCCCAGTCCTTTGTCAGGATATTGAACTTTTCGATTAAATATACAAACATAAGTGATAATCCCTTCCCAAGCACAGAGTATCTGATCTAGGATAGATCAGGGATTAGAAGTTGACAATCTTCTTTTCTCTGAAGGTTTCCACTGTGCCCCTGACACTCACTTCCAAAGGAGTAAATTCTATTCCCAATTCCTTCTTTGCCTTCTTTGTGGAAATCTGGTATGTTGGCGCGTACGGCTCATCTACCTCACACCTGACAATATTGTTGAGATTTGAGAAAGTACAAATGTTATAAATAAAAAGAAAAACTCAAATATTTAAATGCTAAGTGCATGCAAACATGATAAAAGAAAGACTAATTATTCGTCTACATCCTATTTTTCTGAACATCTCCTTAATCTCTAGTTTTTCTTTTTATTTATCTCTTTCTAACCGTTATAAATTTTATATTTTCATTTTTCTCAAGAGGCTATTTAAGTGATTTTTACTTATGAGTTAACATTTATCATATTTCAACGAGAAAAAACAGAAGAAAGAAGGAAACAAGACAATATTTTTCACTGTGCTGTATCCATTGATGGAAGCTGTACAATCATGTCGTTATCATTAAATCTCACGAAGGTCATTAGGCAAACTAATGCAACCTCAGTAATTCTCACATGTGCACACGAACACAAAAATCCGCACTAACTTTAAATGAACTTAAATAGGGAGAGTCTTCAAAAGAGTAATTCACTGTAATCTTAAATCAGGTTCCAGAAAGATTTAAATTTGAAAAAATAAATTGAAAGTGTAATTTATTTATCACTTTAGCCCCTTCATTAGAAAACCTCCTACATGATACTAAAATTTTAATTCTCGAACTTTACTACTTGTGGTCATTTTGGTCCACGAACTCCACCACTATCATTTTGGTTCTTGATTTCCGTCACTTATTATCATTTTAGTCCCTAAATTTAACTACCTATCATTTTAGTCCCCGATATTAACTTCTAATTTCTTTTTAGTCTTTAAATTTAACCAATTACTGCTATCCTAGTGATACTTAATTGATATTTGGAAAACACTTTCAAGAATTAAAATGACAAGAGTGACATTGTTTAAGTACTATAGTGACTGACAACAAATGATTAATTTCAGAAGCTTTTTTTTTTTTTAACACTTTCAAAATTTTAACCGAGTGAATTACTTTTGGGACTAAAGTAATAATTGTTTACCCAAACATGATCATTTGATTTCCACAATGCATCAAAGCGAAGGCACGACTGGTATAGTTTTCCATAATATATGGTAGGGAGCACATATTTCGGGAGAATATATATTAGGCTCAGGAACCCTTCTCCCTTTCTATTTATAATGGAAAATCTGATACAACAAGACATAGAAGACTAAATAAGAGATTGCAGCTAGAATCCTAGATGCAGACCTAGATCCATATGTAGGAAGTTTCCTATACTCAACATCCTATACTTAGGTCTAATGATAATACTAGGAAGTAATGATTCTACATTCCCCCTCAAGCTGCAACATACATATTGTATGAACCAAGCTTAGAACAAATGAACTCAATCTGAGGTTCCCTTAATGACTTGGTCAACACATATGTAAGTTGGTCATTTGACCCAACGAACTCAGGACAAATTTCCTTGGACATTAATTTTTCCCGAACAAAATGACAGTCAATTTCTATGTGTTTAATCCTCTCATAAAACACCAGATTTGGTGTAATGTGGAGAGCAGCTTGGTTGTCACAGTACATCTTCATGGTCTGGATTTCACAAAAATTAAGCTCCCGAAGAAATTGTTTTACCCATATGAGTTCACAAGTGAGAGACGTTATTGCCCGATATTCAGCTTCAGTGGATGATCGGGCTACTATATTTTGCTTTTTACTTTTTCATGAGATAACATTTCCTCCAAAGAAGACACAATATCCTGTAGTAGAGCGTCTGTCAATAGGGGAGTCTGCCCAATCAACATCACAATACCCGGAGACTTGAACATTTCCTTTATCTCCATATAGTAAACCCTGTCCAGGAACCTTCATGAGGTACCTTAAAATACGGATGATGACATTCCAATGTCCAAGATATGGAGTCTGCATAAACTGACTAACCACTCCAACTGCAACAGATAGATCAGGCCTCGTAATAGCAAAATAAATTAGTTTTCCAACAAGCCGCCTATATCTCTCTGGATCAAAGAATAATTCACCTTCTTCTGTCGTTAGCTTCTGATTTGGGTTCATAGGACTATCTACTGATCTACGGTCAATCATGCCTGTTTTTTGTAATATATCAAGAACATTCTTCCTTTGAGAGATTACAATTCCATCTTTTGACTGAGCTACTTCAATGCCCAAGAAGTATTTGAGGCTTCCAAGATCCTTGGTTTGAAAATGTCTACACAAGTACTCCTTTAGTTGAGATATTCCAGTAGTGTCATTTCCTGTAATGACTATATCATCAACATATACTATTAGGTAAACACATTTCTCGAGAGATGTATGACAGTAAAAAACAGAATGGTCTCCTTCACTACGTCTTAGCGCAAATTTTTAAACAATGGAGCTGAATTTTCCAAACCAAGCACGTGGTGATTGCTTGAGGCCATATAGAGAATGATGCAATTTGCATACTATACCAGACTCCCCCTGAGCAACGAACCCAGAAGGTTGCTCCATGTAAACCTCTTCCTCAAGATCACCATAGAGGAAGACATTTTTTATATCTAATTGACGAAGTAGTCAGTGACGAATGGCTGTCATGGCAAAGAAGAGACGAATAGTAGTCATCTTGGCTACGAGAGAGAAAGTGTCACAATAATCAAGACCATAAACCTTAGTGTATCCTTTTGTAACTGATGTGGACATAAAGGCCCAAGCCCATAACGAGAAGGATCAAGACCAAGATCCAATCCAAGACTTAGGTGGACCTATGACAAGAGACAGGCTCAGAAAAGCACAAGAGGCATTGCAATATAAAGTGACCAATTTGCTAAAGGCCCAACTATTAAAAGATCCAAACATGGAGGAGTCTAGACCTATCACATGCATAGAATGTTTGGAGAGCTAGGAGGCCCAACTAAAAGATTTAGTTATTATTATTATTATTATTTTATTTACTACAGTAGGGATTTGAACCCAAGACCCAAAGCTTATAATGTCTTCACTGAACCATCTGGGTAACTTAACTTTGCTTGGGATATTAGGATTTTAATTTATCTTTATTTCCTGCAATGAGACAAACTCATAAACTTAAGTTGTATTAAACATTTGGGAATTCCGAATGAACGTACGTAATATTCAGATTACTTTGTGAGTTGTTGCTTTGCTAGGGTTTTTCCTTGCATCATTTGATCTTATCAAGAATTATCCAATTTTTGTGGCGATCCTTCTTGGCTTATCAAATAATCTTATTTGTGGCGCCTACGGTATCTTTTATGTTTTTCTGTTTTCTATTTCTAATCAAATCAACTCTTAAAACCTAACCCTAAATTGTTTCCCTTCTATTTGAGTGTCGTCATTTGGTATCAGAGCCAGGTTTCAAAAGCAGTACTGTTCATCGAAACTGTTCATTGTCACTGTTCACGCACTGTTCATTATACTGTTCACGTGTACTGTTCATTTGTCACTTGTTCAGTATCTTGTTCAAAAAAAATTGTTTATGCAATTTTGATATTGAATTTCATTTAGATATATATATCAAAATTGTGTTTGAAATTAGTTTTCTCGAGAAAAAAACAAAAAAAAGAATAAAAAAAGAAAAAGAATAAAAAAAAGAATAAAAAAAGAAAAGAATCAAAAAAGGAAAAGAATTAAAAGAAGAAAAGAATCAGAAAAAAAAATTATATATATATATATATATATATATATATATATATGTGTGTGTGTGTGTGTGTGTGTGTGGCAGTTGTTATTTTTTTAAATTTCAGTGCACATTAGCTGTTTGATAAAATTCCTAAGTGTCACACGTCTTTGTCTAATCTTTGTTTTCCCATACAGTTTAAATTTGTCTTGCTTGTTATTAGTAGTAAAATTGTTCTTTGCTACTTGTCCTTTGTTGGTTACAATTCTGTTTTATTCCTTGTGATTGCTACAGTTGAAAGTGATTCTTGAACTATAGATTGTTTGATTCTTGTAAGAACCATAAGTCAGAGAACAAGTGAAAAAAGGCAAGAGTGCATATTATACAAAAGCCAAATTGAGAGTAAACACGAGTGGTACATCTTTGAGTGCAAACACGTGAGAAGAGTGGTGAGGTCCTATTATTTCATTTGTTTGGTCTTTTCTTTTTTTTTACTTGAAAGATGGCAGGTGGTGGTATCCCTCCTCTAGGGGATGACAATAGATTATTGATTGATGTCATTACAGCCCAAATGCAAAGAATGTTGACAGAACATACCGAGGAGTTGTATGGGAGAATTGAACAACTAGAAAATAAAGGAAATGATGATGATGGTGGAGGTAGAAGGAGGAGAAGGAGAAATAATGAAGGTGATGTTAGAGATAACGAGAATTGAAGGAATAAAGTCGAACATACCCTCTTTTCAAGGAAAGAGTGATCCGAAGCATATTTGGAGTGGGAAATAAAAATTGAACAATTGTTTGCATGCCATAATTACACAGAAGATAAAAAGATGAGGGTGGCAGCCATGAAATTCACTGATTATGCTCTCATTTGGTGGAACCAATTACAAAGGGAAAGAGTGAGATATGAAGAACCCTTGGTGGAAAGTTGGGAAGAAATGAAGAAGTTGATGAGAAGAAGATTTGTTCCTTCTCATTATCAAAGAGATCTTCACAACAAGCTCCAAAGACTCATACAAGGTAGTAGAGGTGTTGATGAATATTACAAAGAGATGGAGGTTTCCATGAGGGCTAATGTTATGGAGACACGGGAGACTACTATGACCCAATTCCTACATGGGCTAAATAGTGATATAATGGATGTTGTGGAGCTGCAAAATTATGTTGAGTTGGAGGATTTAGTACATCAAGCTTCTAAGGTGGAACAACAATTGAAGAGAAAGGGTGCCATGAGGAGGAGTTCATCTAATTTTCACTCTCCTAGTTGGAAGGACAAAAATAAGAAGGAGGGTGGATCATCAATAAACAATTCCAATGTTATAGCTCATAGAAATCAAAATAAGTCTGATGAGACACTTAAGAAAACAAGGAGTAGTGAGGTTAAGTGCTTCAAATGTTTGGGAAGAGGTCACATAGTTTCTCAATGTCCCACTAAGAAGACTATGTTACTTAAGGAGGATGGAGAAATAATTAGTGAATCTTCTTCAGATTCTTCATCTAGTGATGAAAATGAGCATGAAGATGAAAGAGAGTTAGAAGGAGATCTGTTCATGATTAAAAGGATGTTGGGTAGTCAATTAGTTGAATTAGATGATTGTCAAAGAGAAAATATTTTTCATGCAAGGTGCCTCATTCAAGGAAAGTTGTGCTCTTTGATCATTGATGGTGGGAGTTGCACTAACGTGGCTAGTGCACGGTTGGTTTCAAAAATGAATTTGGAGACTAAACTACACCCGCGACCTTACAAACTTCAATGACTTAGTGAAGATGGTGAGATGACCGTGAATAGGCAAGTTGAAGTGGGTTTTTCCATAGGGA